TATATGTAATGCCGGGTCATTGTACGAAATTTTCTCTGTTCGGCGACCGGGCTCTAGACAGAGTTCACTTTATTCGAAAAAATCATTTCAGATTACTTTGGACATAAAGGACACGAAGGCTATAATAGCTGGATAAGTATTATTTTTATCATAGTTACCTTTTGGTGTACGCGAGCCGTCTTTCATACCACGTGACCGGGTCGAGGTAATGTTCGGTAAAGAAATAATGGAATACCGGTTTGAACTCCCTAAGTATAGAGTTGAAGGCAGTTAATTTATCTCTATTACTCTTTCTGAGTTCATGACACCTACTTAGTTTCTGGCGGGCAGCGACGCAAGAAATATCCTAAATAAAAAATATATGATACAGCAACACAAATAAAAAAAATTTAGCTATTAATTTTACTCTAAAATACTGAAATATCAAACTTCTATACGAGAAATCTATCGCATTTCAGTTTCAAACATTTCAAATCTACATAATCACGCAAAAACTATAAAATTTACTAGCTTTCCGACAGTGGCTTCGCCCCCGTGCTCCTCAGGAATTTTTTATCCCATTACACAGTGTAGTGGGATAAAAAAAAGCCTATATGTTAATCCAGGCTTAGAATTATCCGTATACCAAAGAATCATGTCCAATAATGACCTAAAAATTTACTGACGCGTCTAGTGATGTTATATATCTCAATATGTAGCTTATTTTTTACTTGTATCGTATCATGTAATAAAGTCTTAAAATAAAATCTGGATAAAAATTGCGAGGCTGATAAATATTTTCAAAAGTTACCCCTTTTCGATTCGGACCCTACAATGATGGTTCGCTGCACTAACCCAATGCGATTCGGACCATACAATGACGGTAACTACGTTTCGTTTCATCTACTATGGAAATATATTCTTTCGTCGTAAGGTTAAAAAGTGCACATTAACAATTACATCTTAATTTATTTCCACAGTTACGAGTTAAATTATTAAAAGTTTTTATTTGAATGCATTAATTTTTAAATTAGCTTCACAATTACCTCGAGTTTTGACAGCTGATATAACCTCAAAACATTATTTACAAATTACTTGAAATAATGCTTAGATACTATTATATTTTCACACGAACTTAAAAAAGCAGGTATGATGACAGGTCAATCTATGTATGGAAAGTGGACATGATTCTTATATCAAAAACCGCTCAGTAGTTTTTGGGTGCAGAAGTAACAAACTGGCAAACTTTCACATTTACAATATTAGAGAGATTATATAAAAGTCTTCAATCGCTCTGCAAATATTATCGAATTTTGTATGAAAATATAGTTACCCGTGGACGATATCGTGCATGTGCGCCGTCTTTAGCTGTTGTTCCTACTAAATAAGAGCCGATAGGCATAGTTCCTTCGCACCACTCGAGCACTCCTGACTGCCGTGACATTGGCACTACCTAATTTATAACCAATGTTTTTATCACTCAAATATATGTCAAAACAAAATGAAGCTGATTCTCTTGCTTTACTTTCCTTCAGTAATGAAACTCAAGAAATGAAATACAGTAAATGTAATTAGGTTCATTTTTGCATTAGGTATATCTCTAATATTATTTTATATCCATTGGAATAAGGACTTTTCGGTTTTCTTGATATACATATTAAACATATGCCGATTTTTTATAAAACAAGAGTTAAACCATTGGTCTAGAGCAAGTTAAAAATAATAGAAGAGAAAACTTAACGTCGATACGTGTAGTCAACAACATACGTGTGGTCTTTTGGTCGGATAATAGTTCAAACTGCTACTGGTACTTAAAATTGGTACTAAGTTAAGTCCTCATTTTATAATAAGAAGGCTAGGGTTGGACAACATCTAGCAACATCATATATCGCCTGTTCCGTGGTGATGGCAATGAAGACAGTATATTCGCTATCTTTCTCTCTCTAACAAATGGCGACGATAGCGTGCAGCCAAATGTAGGTAGTCTAACCATAAAGAAAAATTTTCTAACTCTTCCGGTTTTCTTTCATTTATAAAATTAAATTTAGTTTTCAAAACTCAATAAACAACTCATATTCTATTTGTACTTTTTCGTATTTGTATTGATATGTAAGTTTCGAACTTTGCAAATTTCAGTTTTTTTAATGTGTTAGTTAAAAGGAACGGAATTGACTATCCTTGGTCCATTCGTTTCCTGCTAAAATCAACTTTTGCTAGAGTCGCCATCTGTAGTATGGGCAGCTAGCTGTTTGCAGCTAGCTGCCTTTGGCTTTAACGTTTAATCAAATTCGCGCCAACAATGGATCAATGTATAAGAATTGAAGTAATTTTAAATATAACAATTGAAGAGTAAATTGCTCTTATTAGTGGAGATTTGTAATTACTATACATAACGATAACATGTGTCTGTATATCTTACTAAAATAAAAACATGTATATAATTGCTAGATTACCTTATAAGTTCGAATAATAAGTTTATTCCTATTTGTTATAGCGTTCCTTTCTAGTAAATTATTAACGATATTGAAAACTTGTTGCATCACAGCGTCTTGCCTGAGATCGTCCTGACCCTGTTGATATAAAATATTAATATTATAATATATATTATACAAGTATGTAATATAACAAATAATAGCGTTAACATTACGAAAATTAATGAAATGCTAATAACTAACTTCTTCGTCGTTATTTATAGTTATAAGTGATCGTTATTTACAATACTTGTAAATAAAAATAACAATTTATCTATATTGCATAACAATACCACAATAAAACAGCTAACCTTTATTAAAAGAATCTTCTTACGTCCGTCAGAAGCTTTGCAATTAATTTTTTTGGGGCAATTGATTCCTCCAACTAGCTCAAAATAGTCCTCAAATGAGACGAATGCTGCAAATATTTAAGTAATTAAGAATAGCATGTTTTTTACAATATTTCTATATTATTAATAATTCTATTTGCGTACCCTTGGTTTATTCCACAAGGAATATAATACATCGAAATATATATTTTATTCGTTTAAGAATAACAAAAATAGGAAATCCGTCTAAATTTTTTACCATGTTCACCCTACTGCACGTCACCGTGTACGTGGTACGTAAAGTGCCCGCAACCATTATAGTACGGTAAACGTTCTTTCGTAATGTGCAAGTGTCATTATAAGACACATTTTATAATTATGAGAATTTTCATGAAATAATGTTAATATAAAAATGTTAATTTAAGGTAATATGGACCAAATTTCGTAGAAATAGGGATGAAACCTGAGTTAAAAAAAAACTAATTAGTCCGTCAGTCAGATAATAAAAAATATTAGTATGGTATAGCAATCGTTACAGACAAATTTTACTGTATGTTTTCCGAACAAAAGAAAGCATTTATTTTGTTAACACACAATATAAAACAAACAAGACAATACGGGTGTAGACAGTAAAGGAAAAAATATACATATTATTTTTTTCTTGTAGCGTTTAATATACTTTTACCGATAATCACACTTTCATGCTTATTATATTTATAATATTGCTTAAATTAATTATGAAGAAACGAATATTTTATACTCGTTGTCACATGACCGCAAACTGCGCGTGACGTCACGTAACTCTTACTCATATCATCAGAACTTTGAGAATTCAACCTTACGCATAGATAGCGACGCCATGAAAGAAGTGGCGTTTTCCTGCGAATTTTTTTTTTTTATTTGGACTTGTTTATGAAAGGTATTTTCTATATATTTTTTTAGATATATTTCATGTATGAATAAAAATATATAAAAAAATAGTCTACACCCCTATTATAAAATATTAATTTAAAATACTAAGTAGGATGTCATGTATACGCACTGCTAATGGAGCTGTAGTTACAATCGCTTCGTATGGGCACAGTAACGGTGGGTATTGGTATGGCATCTAAGCATGACAGTTTATGTATTCTTTCTGCTGATGGGATTTTTTGTTTCTGCTCTTTAGATTGTGGTTTATAGTTAGCGAAGCTTATTGTAGCTGGAAAAAGAAATTATAACATTAATTTCGGGATTTAAAATTAAAAAGTAACCTGGGATGCGACCCGCCTAGCTCTCTAACCCTTTTTTTACTTTAATTTTACAACTTTGACCAATGTATTCTAGCGAATTAACGACTAAGTTGTTATTACTGCTATCAAACCCATAATTAGAAACTTAATATCGAAATAACATCGCAAAAAAGTCGTATACTATGGCTAGATTCATGGGTAAAATTTCAAATCGCTCTCTAAATTCACGCTAAAGTCAACTGTTAATGGACCTCTTTAGTCGATATTTTATGCTCATTATATAGTGACATACCATCACATAACTGCTCCATTTGCTTCACAATAACAGGTAGATCATTAGCCACTTGTCTGACCAACGTTTCCGCGGCGACCACACGCGGTTCCTGCGTTATACTGCGTCGCGATTTACCCACGCCTTGACTAATATTCAGTATGCACATATCTTTATCAGAATTTTTCAAACTGAACAGAATCGGTAACGTGTGGTGAGGATGATCTATAGCACATCTCCCTGATAAATAATAAATTAAAAATGTGAAATAACTATTTAAATTACATGGGTTAATAAAAAAAAATGGTCGATTAAGGGCAACTTTCGGAACAAACTTAACTTTTGCACATAAAATTCATAGAAATTGTTCTGCTTTGTTTTTCTTTTTATAATTTGACAGATTGTATGTTTTAAAAATTCTTTCATCTACGGGAAGCTACATCATATGCGGTGAACATAGGCTATGTTTTATCTCGAAATAGCAATACAATAAAGGGATGAAAATGGGCGCGGAAGTTTTTATAGGGAATTAAGACGTTGCCATAGTAACCATTGTTTATTATTGTCATTGTAGTTACATCCGTGTCATGATATGAATCGATATCCAAATCAACAGTTTCCTAGGGACTTTCTGCTGGCGGAAAGCCAGTATTTATAATTTGAAAGACTTTTTGAAAAATAGGCATAAACACGGTCGTTGAGAGTATGTTATCAATTGACCAGTACCATATAACAATAGAAACAATGATATTAGTGACAAAATAAAGAACATAAAACTAAGCGGTATTTTTAAGTACAGAAAGTCATTAAAACGGTTATATTTTAAATAATTTAAATCATACTCAGGATATGTTTCAGGTTATCAGCGAAAGCAGATTCTTCGTCACTCAATCTCGGGGCCAATTGTGGTAAAACAGTGATGAACTTGTGCGAGGATATTCGATGCAGCAAATCTTTAAACGACCCGTGTTCTGTCGGATCCAGCTGAAGATTGGGGTTGTCGAGCCATAGGGATATCACTCTGAATACTGACAAGTCATTGTCCTCACTTTCTTGTAGCGAGAGCAAGTAGTATCTGTGATAGAATAACCACTGAATCAGAATGTATACCAATTTAATATTTAAGCTATTATTGTATCTACAGCCTGTGGCTGTAGATGAGGTTTTAACGATAAAGGTTTTAATGTTCCAATTTACGAGAGGTTTTAAACCTCAATTAAAATCTATTCGTCATTATTTTGTCCAAAATGGAATGAAAATAGAACTGAAAAATTCTCAAAATTAACACCACTCTCCAATGCCAGATATGGGATTAGAGTTGCCAGGCGTCATACCAGTCACCAAAACCAGACATAGGCTTTTTGATTGACGGCCTAAATAAACGGTGCCCGGCCTTTTGAATCATATTCATTTCGAAGTTCACTCGAAATAAAGTGCTTAAACTGATTTTGAATTCGATTTTTTAAATGTTTCATTAGAATATAATAATGGTAAATAATTTTTACTCACAACTTTTTATATTACGACACAAAATTTTCGACATTGAAAGACCCAAATGTCGAGCTATTAGAATTGACAATCTGGCAACCCTATATATCGAATCTTAAATGACCTGTGATATTGATAAACGAAGACACTAACCTCATAGCTAAATGTAAAAATGTTTGTTTCTCTGCTCTGGTGCTAGCTATCTCCGCTTCTTCCAATTGCTCAAATCTCTGATTTGTGAACAAAGACTTCCTTTCATCTCTATAGAAGAAATATAAGAAAAAATTACAGTAAATCCCAGCTAAAATATAGGTAATCAATATTAAATCCACTACGTACTTGGTCATCGTTGACGTTTGAGTCAGTTTCAGTGTGGAAGCGGTTTCTTTGATATTTTCCAAGCATTTTACTTTATTTTCAAATATTGACGAATTCATATACGTTACGACCTGAAATATATAAAAATACAGTGTGTGACGTAAAAAATGGTTATCAACTCCAGTCGAATTACACATTTTTTTACCAATAAGTATCATTAGCTGGTATCTAAGTAGAAATAATGTAAGTTTTTTATTTCATAACGTCGGGGTTCGATTGCCGAATTGAGAATTTTTTTTTTATGTATAAATTCAGTTTTCTATTGACTATACTCAATAACATGGTTCCTAATAACAGATCTTCGCGTATCTTAATGTTACATATATATATTCTATTTCATTAAAAAGTTTGGGCACTGTTAAAAAACTTTCTCACTGTTGAATAATAAAACTTAACATTTTGTTAGTTAGATCACCATTCTCAAATCCGAAATGCTTTTACTACGCATACGTGTTTCGTACACCTTAGTTAAGAAATTAATAATAGGTATTTGTTTGTTATAAGCATGTAGTGTTTACCTTTAATTGTTCGTTACATGCATGTGATGCATCTTTTTTATAATCTTTAGTACGTATGTTTATTGTGTAACCGAATGTTGGTAAACCATATAATAAATTAAAAAAAAAAATAAAAAAATACCTGTTTATACTCCGCATCAGCAAATTTGGCGATGTCAAAGTAAATCTTCTGTCTAGTTTTTAGGTCTTCGCCTCTCGTTAGCTCGAGACTCTTTTTTAAATATTTATTAATAATATCACGTGCATTGTCTGACTTAGATTCGGCCATCCATAAACCGTATTGCCTGAGTACAAAAATATTTAAAAGGGCATATGCACATATTTACAAAACATTTTCATATGATAATTTACGTCGTTATATAACTGTAAAAAAACCCGGCACCGAAATATTTAATTTAGTAACAATAATAATTGATGAAAATAAGAACAACGACATCCCTATAGGTGTACATTTTTATCAAATCCGCTCCGACAAGTAGCATGGCGTTTGAATATTTTGAAGTTACCGCAATTTTTAATACGAAAACGAATATTATGTTAAAAAATATTGACATAGTCTATGGATGTGACAACACTGCCCGCGCGCGTGCGGGCGAGCCCGGGGCATGAGGTGAAGAGGAGGAGGAGCGGGGCTCAGCACCGGCCGAGGGCCGCGACAACGTCACGACACACTCGCTCCACGACCGCACGAGACACCGCGCGGATACATATTATCGGGCTACCCTTGTACTTTAAGGCATATTAAACCTATAATTACAGTCCACAAATCTTTCATTCATCTCACAAAGCAACAGCTTTATTATCAAGCAATAAAGATCATAAAATATATTCAACCCTTTTTGAATCAGTCCCTTTTACATAATGTCAATCACCTTTTCCCTACTCTACAGAATAAGTGTGAAATTATGTTTATTTTATATAAATCATCAATAAAGGTTGATGACTGACCAAACTTATGTACATTTTCTATATACATGTGACGTAACGAGCCTTAAATGAACTGTAATACCCATTACATAAGCCATTTCTTGTTAAATGGAAACAAAAAAGTTTCCAATATTTTTCCATTATCTGACTAGTAACGGAATAAACAGATTTCTTTTTTATCCCTATTATTTTAAAAGTCGAACCTTAGCGAAACGGCAGCCAGTCGTTCGTCATTAGACTGATCACCGGTATTAGACACAACATTACGTAGCAACGACAAAGCGATGTCTTTGTGCCCCTTGGCCCAAGATATCTGGCTTTCCAATAATGTAACCTCTTCAGAGGTCTGCATCCTCTTAACCGCCGCTAAAAGACGTTGTGCCATTTGAATCCTTCGGTTCTCCAAGCAAAATTCTGAAATATTTAATTAATAAAGACCATTTTCATTTAGCAGTACACAAAAAGCAAGAGTATTATGCCATTTCATACTGACCTACGTATCGCAACTGCAATGGCACTATGTCTTTCAAAGCTTTAACGTCACTCTTAACTGTATGTTCCAATATTATATTACGTTGAGAAATCAAGTCTTCCAGATGCTTGAAATCCTGAAACGCGGGCAGATTTTCTACTCTCCATTTGTTCAGTAAATCGAAGAGCGACAATTTATCACATCTCACTGAGAAGTAGTCTTCGATGTCGGTGAACAGGTGCAATTTAGACAAAACCTTATAAACATTCTGACAGTTCTCCATATTCAATTGCTGGCACAGTTTAGCAACGGCAAGTTTAGCCCTATTCAACGGTTGGACGAGCTTATCTTGAAATTCTGGTTTCATTTGAATATTGAGACAGTCCTTCAAACAAGCGTATCGAAAAGCTTTAAGAACAGACTCAGTATTTATATTAGGGATAGCGTGTTTTTCTTCCAAGTCTCGAGTATCCACAAAATCACTCCAATCACCTAAAATATTTTTATGTATTAAAATTTTTCAAAAACACCTTGAATTCGGAGGAGAAGCTCCATAACGCAGTGGTTAGCGATATAGAGTAAACAGATTTCTTTGTTCCTTATTATTTTAAGAGGAGTTATTAAGCAACCTTAGTAATGCCCTGTCATAGGATGGGTACTCAAAAATTTTGAGCTCCACCGTGCTTCGGACGACACGTTAAGCCGTCGGTCCCGGCTGCATCTACAGTCGTTAATACCCACCGATCCGCAGTGAGCCTGCATGGTCGGTCATGGCCTATTCTCCCTCTTCGATTCCATCCACAAGGAAGGCCTTAGCCCCAGCAGTGAGGATATAATAGGCTGGTGATGATTCAAATTTTAACCATAACAACTCCATCTTCCAAGGCAAGTTATTCACAAACGAATTGGATTCTAAATCTGAGTCTTTCTTGATTGAAGTCAACAGTTGCTTGACTTCATAATTGTGTATGTACATGTAGTTCTACGTGATTGTTTTGTTTCAGACTTACCTAGAAACGACAGACATTCGTATTTGATATCGTTAAGCTGCTCACTCTCCGGTAACGATTTTATATACTGCAATGCTAAATGATGCATGCCGGACTTGTGCAACGAGCGTACTACACCACGGTACAAAGATGGTGCTTCCTTGCCGCTGGACAATGCGATATCGTGTAAAAACAGTGCATCTGAATACTGTCCCGTGTTGGTCAGGTGTTTGAGTTTCTCATCTTCACTGGTTAAATGTGCGGTGCCACACCCGTCGACAGCATCCAACTCACCGATCGATACAAAACTCTGCCAATTTAAAATTATAATAATAGCATATCCTGAGAATAAAATTGGTAAAAAATTAGTAATTTCGTACAATCTCGCCTTAAGTACAACAAACCTTTCGCAGTATCGTCTGTAGATCTCTCCCGCCAATGAGAGCGGTGGTAGCGTCAGGCGATGAGGGCGGCACTCCATCATTCATATCAGTCGCCCACAACTCGCCATAATAAATGGCAGACAGATTTTGATCAGCCACTGTGGCGACCCAAGATATTTTTACGTAATCTAAATTCAACTTGGATCTGAAATAAAGAAAGATTTAAATGATTCGACCTATTAGTTAAAATGTAGAGTATCAGTTCTAAAATTGATATAGTTTATCAACTGTAGTAAAAACAAAGGCATAAGTAACCTTTGTATATAAGGGCTTACCGCTCGCTACAGTAGCAAACACAATTAGAAACTTTAACCGTGTTTAAGCAAACTCAAGTGTTACTTGTAAGTTGATAGCAGAATAGATTTTTAACCGATTACAAAGCAAGGGTTATGTTTTTCGCGCGTATCTTGTATGTATGTAATATTCTTTATTACCTCATATTTTCAGAACCGCTGAACGGATTTTGATAATAGAGGTATCTTCAGATATGTCTTAGATATATGACGTAAAAAAATACAAATATGGCGGCTGTGCCACGCCATTATATTTAATGGTTTTTTTTTGTTTCATATACTATATGGGTATCATATTGTAGTATTTAATTATATAAAGGACTCAAATGTGAGGATTCCAAAAAGGTATATCATAATTATCATTACCTTAATACTAATAAAAATAACAATGATGAAATTTAAAAATATAGACTGTTCTTTCACTTTCTGAACCAACCTGATAATTTATTTAACTAAAAAACAAATAAAATTATAATTAAAATAAAATAATGAAAAACAACCAACTGAAATGGCTGGAACAAGATAAAAATAGTAGTTTATGCAACTGTCATATAAGAAGGGGTATCAAAACACGAGAGTCTGTTTTAATACCTAATACCTAAGTTATATGCAGTTTCATACACTATTTTATCTTCACTCATAGGAAAAATTTAAATTAAACAAAGTTGGTAGGTTACAAGAAAGTCATTTATGCGTGCACCATTTTTTTCACAGTTCGCACTGCGCGCATACGTGCCTATTTTTTATATTCAGCCTAAAACCATAGACTAGTTTAATGAATAAAAAAAGATAGCGGTACTATAATGAGTTTTATTTCTAATTTTATGTATATGCGTCTGTAAAGTGCGTATGTATAGAATCGTCTTTGAATTCGTAATTCGAATTTATCACACTCACGCTTTGAATCATTAGAGCTATAGTTCAGGACAAATATCCTCATTAAAATATTATCTATTAAAATACTGTATACAAATATCAGTTTTAAGAGCATCTTTGGTTTCTTAGGCCATGTCGTTCGTTTCAAATACTAATATGTGACTAGCAATTTTAAGAGCATCTTTCGTCTCAATCATCTCAAAAGATTCGGGATAACTACCTAGTCAAGGAAAAGAAAGACTTTCAAGAAGAGCACTCACCTAAATTTATAACGATTTCTCTGTAATCTGACAAAGTTAACAACATCTAACATATTTTGTACGATAATTTTCTGATTTTGATCTAATATATTGGTTTTATTGCCACCGCTGTTCTCTTCACTGCCCTCGTCAATATTATCGCCAAATGTTATTTCCCAGAAGTGTTTGAAAAAATTGTTTATTTGTTGGCTAATAATTCTAACGTGATTTTCTGAAGAAATATATATCAACATTCCAATGACAACTGGAAGAATCTTTTGACACACATCAACCTAAAACGAAAGTTATAACATGATTTATGTAAATGTCATTACTTGATAAAGAGCTGGTAAGTTTCTTTCGCTTGTTCTTCTTGTCAGCTAAAAGACGTCGTGAACAATGGGTAGGAGAAAAAATTTTTTTTGGACGACTCAAATGTGCTTGAAATACCTACTGTGCCTACTTGAATAAAGATATTTTCATTCCATTTCATTTCAATCAAAGCAGTAAAACAAAAAGCAGCTAAGTGTGACTCGGACTCAGCGCGCGAAGGGTGCCGTGTCGGATTCAAGCAAAAAAAACACGTTTGTTGTATGGGTTCCCATATTAATCCCTTGAATATTAATTTTATTAGATTTTTAGTTTTGTTGTTACAGCGGCAACAGAAATACATCATCTGTGAAAATTTCAAATTTCAACAACAAAATTTCTTAACTATCACGGTTCTTGAGATACAGCCTGGTGGCAGACAGACGGACAGCGACAACGGACAGCAGTCTTAGAAATAGGGTCCCGTTTTACCCTTTGGATACGAACCCCTAAAAATGTTGTAAACAGTTTTTTTACAAACCTTTAGTCTGCAAACATCGCGGAGTGCATTTAAATAATTCGATTTTGAAACGAGAACTTCCATTATGGCTTCTGTTTTCTTGACAATCCATTGGCCGTGAGTCTCATTAAAATTTGGTACCATAAATTGTAAATCAGCAATATTGCTAAATTTCGCATCATTTATTACAAACGTAGCTACTGCATTGCTTTCTTCCGATACAAACGGTTTAAGTATTTGCTTTTCAACTTCATTCAAATCTGCAATTTGATTTCACACAAGTAAGGGATACTGGATATAATATATATCATATTTATTTATCAAAACTTTATTGGCCAGCAATTAAATGGTACAATATGCGGACTTAATGCTTCTATACCAGTCAACCTTTAAGAAAACCTTACAATTAAAAATTCTTAAACTAATCTATAAGCTAGCTAATACATATTATACATACATATCAACATAAACGTAAATATAAACATATACACATTAAACATAATATACAGATTACAATCTTTATAATTGCTGCGTAAGAAACGTGTGAGCTTCCTTTTTAAATATAAATTTGTTAAGTGATTGTCTGATGGAATTGGGAAGGTTATTCCACAATCGTATAACTTGAATGATAAATAAGGTATAAGCAGTACGTTGTTAATTATTTTATTTCATATAAAAATCAATAAGTAATAAAAAAATAGATATTATCAAAAAGAGAATCTTAAATTATTTATTCTACATTTACAGTTTAAGCAATAGATATATGTATAAATAAAGTCATTTTGGTTAACCTATAGCTTCCACGCCTTCTCTGTACTTTAACAGTCTGTGCAATGTCTTTGTGACCTTGCTGGTAACTTGAGGGTTTTCGTCAAAAACCACTTCTGCCAGTGACGTCACTACTGTCGACGCGAGCGTTTGTCTCGGCTCCATAGACACTATGCGTCTAGTATCCGAAGGCGGCAAAGTGACTAATGTCTTCAAACCATACGTTCCTATCTCAGAGAGACAGTTGCACGCTTCTATTATAGTCTAAAATTAAATCAACATTTTTTTTTATTTGTCCTTTTATTTTTGAAAAATATTAAACACGTATTTTTTATTTTTTGCGTAGTCATTAAATTACGGCAATACATTAAAATATCGTATGACGACACGCTTTTGTATATTTTCTTAAGAAATGTGACGTAGCGAGCCTCTCAACTTTAATGCCTGTTAACTAAGCTATTACTTGTTAAATGGAAGTAAAAAAATACATATCCAATATTTTTCCATTATCTGACTGGCAGACTAAATATATTTTTTTTGTTTTTTACCCAGGCATCATCCCTATGTCCCCTACTACAGGGACGCCTTTTCTCTGAATAGAATCAAGGAATCAAACAACCAACCACGCAAACCCAGTGTGGAACGGATTAGTGAATATAAACGACTATAAGTGTAGTCGAGATAAATTATAAAAAAAACCTGTTTGAAAACGACTATAAGTGTAGTCGAGATAAATTATAAAAAAAACCTGTTTGAAAAAATACCATTGTTTGATAAAAAACTACAGTCTTCAATTTTAAATAGATAAAAAAATAATTTATACGATCGGCACACATTTACAGTACATAAAAAACAATAAAAACTACAACGGTAACATGTTAAAAGCTAGATTAACCTATAAACTGTGCCGCAACGATACAAAATGATATCAGTGTACATACATATTATATTAAAATTTGTTTATGTATGACTTTACTTTTTTATCTTCGATAGATATCTGTAGCAGGTATAGATAAAATACCACAAAAATAATTTACCTTATCATCGAATTGAGATTTCAAAATATTGGTCAATTCGTATATCATTTGATGTATTATACTATTCCCACAGTCCTCTGAAAACCTTATGGTAACCAAATTTTTACATAAAGCACACACGTGTTCTTTGTTGATTTTTAAAAATTGGTGTAGATTCGACAGTGATTCGAAACTGAAAGTAAAAAAGATTGTGTTAATATTCGAATAAATAAAGAAATTGAAAACATTCTCAATACGGTTGTTCGGATTGGTGCTATCCCTTTAATACATAAGATCATGTAGAAGGTGAATCAAATATAAACAGCAGACGGCATATCTAAGTCAAAGTTAGGGACCAAATTAAATACATAGAACGTTTTGATATCTTGAAGTCACTAATTTGCTCATGATGGACCGCGACCTTAATACGTCCCAGTGTATCTCGCACAAGAGGTGACATCTAACAATCCAAAGCTAAACTACAGTTATATTTTTAAAAATATTGGTCTTGCATTGATTTCGCTACTAATCGTTAGATGGCTAATAAAGAACTGGTAGGTCTGGTAAAAAATATCATACAACATCTATTTGTATTTGCTTCGTGGAATAAATATAGAAAAAGAAATCGCCGAATCAATACTCTTCTATTTTTGAAACAAGAAAATTGTTATAATGCACAAAATTCACGATTTTGAACCCCCCCCCCCCCCTCCTGTCACATGTTTGTCTAAAGAAATTCTACTAAATATTGTTCTAATGTCACAGTTTGTTGACCCCCCTCCTAACGTGTGACGTATTTATGGATGGGCCCTAATTTAGAAAATGCATTAATACTTACCTCGGAGAAGTCAACGCCAATTTGTACGTTTCAAGTCTATCCGAAAACTCATTCAACGTGGAGCAAACCAAGTTTTCTGTAGGACGTTGTGACGACATTGATCTAATAAAATCAACTACATCCTCTTGTTCCTTTAAATAATCCTTCATGTCCTCAACCAAGTACTGCAATAAATCTTTGCACTCTTTTTCAAAACCTTCTTCCATTTTTATTATAAGAATCGACATTAACTGCGAAAGGGCCTTTTTTAAAATTTTCGCTTTTGCTGGTAAAAAGCGGATCAAAATTGTTTTCAACGCTTGTGTCAACACTTTGACCTCTTTTTTGTCACGCGATTTTTTGATTGCGTAACCGAAACATTTGCAGACGTAGTTGCAAGCAAAGGCTTCCGTAGATGGAACTAATGGGACGCATTCGACGAACGTTTTGAATGCGTGTATACACAATACTTTTAATTCTAATATATTTTCTTGAAGCACATTCTCCCATAAGTTCAGTAATATCTTAAATATGACGACTGGTTGATCTTCGCATAGATAAAGCATAATATCGCCATCTGTGAGTTCCTAAACAACAATTAAAGTACAAATTTCAGTAGGAAATTAAATAAAAAAATAAATAATTAAATAAAAATAATTTAGGGAATACTATTGGACTTAATGTTCATTACAATTGTAACTCATGTGGCTCATTGATGTACGGCTGCACGTCAGTTGATTTTGCACTCTACACTCAATGTAATAAAGCTTAAAATAGAGTGGAGAAATTAGACCTAACATGCTATTGATGGCAGGACTGAAGGCATATCAGAAGTAGTCAAATATAACGCCATTTGGCGATCCACCAATATCAAAGTGTCCCTAAAGCGTTGTATTTTACACTTTAAAGTTATACATACATATTTGTAAAAAGGTACGAAAAAGATAAAAATACTTATTACATGTCTAATATAAAACTTACCCCAAGATACGCGAGAATGGAGTGAAAAACTATTTTTGGATACTGATAGACCTCTGGTTTGTCCGGTACGTCTACACGGAACTCTTCCTTCGCTAGATTGTGATCACTGAGGTGGGTAGTTGTTAACAATAATATCTCCCCAATGTTTTCCGCAAACAAGTTACTCCACTTATCAGTTTCCAATACGTTCCTTGTCATTTGAAACATTTTTTTCGCATTAATCATCAAACTATTGAAGCGCACATCATTTTCGGCGCTCTTATAGGGAATCTTATATTTTTCAGTAACAATGAAAGGTAGACATAATACTATAATGTTACAAAAACATGCCTGGAAATAAAGCAAAAAATATATAACGACACCCTAACGTCATATTCTTAAAATCCACCACCACTATGATATAAATGTTGCTGGAATAAAGTAACATTAGACATCTCATAAATCATAGTACATTAAGCGCTTCCTTAGATTTGTATATGAAATGTATTCCCAGTGAGGTGAAAAAATAACAACGCCAGAGCACCCAATAAGTAGAAAATAAAGAGCGATTTGCAAGGACTTCTATTAATTTGTCGTAGATCTCGAATTCAGTGATGTGACGTCACATGCTAATCAGAGGCCGCAGACATTCCGTGCGAAATTGGTCATTTATTAACTAATTTTAACTTTGTTTTCTGATTTATTTCAGTTTATATTTTATTATAATGTATTAAATATAATAATATCAACATCATGAAACTTCTCAATTCGGAATAGATTGTTGAAATTTACTCTTTGATTTGTTGCGTTTTTTTTTTTATTGCACACATTTTATCGTATTAATCATTCAATCATGACGAGTTGTAGGGTAAGTTTTGAATATGTAGGGACTAAATTTGTAATTATATGTGTTTAGCAATAAGGGATACCGACACCGTCTCGCCAGTCACGGGTTGGTAGGGCTGCGAACGGTCGCGTACTATTCTTTGTAATGAGTCAAATTTAATAATTTATATTTTTAAATGTATAACCAGTTTCGGCACCACAGTTGTTTTTCTTTGTATATGCCCCACCACGTGATTCAGCGATTACTTAATACATATGTATTTTATAGTGGTTATAAATACATACCTCGATGATATCATTTTCAGATTTATTATATTCAGCTTTCGTTCGATTTAATATTGAACTAGCTTGCATATTTCCATTGGAACGCCATAATATATCGGCCGATATCAGCCATGGCATATGTTTTTCAAAGAATACCGATTGGCTAACAACATTGAAAAAATCCAAAGGTAAATTATTTAAATCATATTTTTTGTAGAACCAGAATTGCAGAATCGAGAGTATATGTTTATTCAAATACTCATCAATGGTTTTGCCATCCAATTTGGTTGTGATGATATTCAAAACTTTTTTTACTATTCGCTTATCTAATAACTTCTCAATATGTAGGCTCAATGTAAAAGTCACTAGATAGCGTAATAGCTTTTTCTTTGCATTGGCTGTAACCACTAAGCTATGCAGAACTGTAAGTGTTCTGTTTAAGGATTCATCTTTTAATATAACTTGTTCTCGTTCTGGAACCTGTAATGTAAAGATAAATATTTGGAGAACAACGTATAAAACTTCACAATAAATGAAAATCTAACCAAATGTAATATTGTTAGGAAAAGAAATCGATAATAATAGACTTATTTTAATAACTTTATAAATTTCTTATTTTATAAATTCACGTTTTGACCCATTTTTTTCCCTTAACATATGATGTTTCTTCCCAATTTTATTAAGACTTTATTTTATTTGTTCTTTTAGTTATAAAACAATACACTTACACTATCAAATATATCCAATATATCGGATGGAAATGTACTGATATCAAAACAAGAACAAGTCGTTAGTTTTTCTAGCAAATAACAGCAATATATACGTATACAATGATTAGTGCCCTTCGATCTCTTAATCAGGGATCTCATGAAAATATCATCTGCGTCTGTTATTTGTCCAGAATTTAATGATATTATTTTTGCTGCACATTTTAATATTAAAGCGGCTAAAGGAGGTGGGTAGAATAATTTTTCGCATCTCTCCAAGAAGCCTCTTATCATTATGAAGGTGTTTAGTTTCATATCTTCATCTTGAGACCAAAGCAATTCCAACATTTTATAAAGAACGCTGAGTAATCTAAATGATGCTTCGGGAATTCTGAATAAATCCTTACATAAATGCTGCATGAAAACAAAAATTGATTCTGAAATGAAAATATTTTAATACAGTCTTCAATGTATTATGGGTCGTGTGCATGTCTGACGAAAGATTCGCAGAGCTCGTTAATAGAAGTAATATAGTAACTTCCAACTAGTAAGGCGCGTGGTGAATGTTCGTTTGCGCAGTGCTCTGACCTACTAATTCAGACGATAACCCAACGTATGATTCAACTGTATAATGCGTCTTGTTTTATTAACCATGAGGTGCGAAATACTTCGCATTAGGCATCCTTCTTACGCACACCCGGCCGGAGTCAGGTGAGTGGATCATCCAATAGCGCACTAAATTATTTATTTTATTTTGCTCGACATTTGCCGCGCTTTCAAATTTAATCTACTATTCAGATGCGTTGAGGATCAGGATTGAGTGTACAAGGATATATTTATCTGCACTGAAGTTACGCAACAGATGATAAGCGCCGGATTTTTTGTCAAATTTATATGTATTGAATAATATAATTTTTTTTTACCTATTGGCGGTTCTTCTACACCACATTGAATTAAAATTTCCAAGCATTGCAATGCGCATTTCACGTCCCAGACAGATGTAAAATTATATAATTTTGGATCTAAAATCAGCTCTAATATTTCCTCTCTGTAATTTCCACGAACCCGACAATAAGCTGCTAGTGTATAAATGCAATTGTATTTCAGAGTTGTAAAATTCATTTCATTGTCGTCACCATCATAAATCACATCTCCATCCAATTCTTTCTCAAAATAGAGTATATTGTTAGCACAATGAAAAAAATCATCTTTTATCAATTGGCGCGTTTCATAAGAAAGCAATGGAACATATTTATCTAGCAGAAGTTCTTTTAAGTATTGCAGAAGTTGAATTTTTAACGGAATCGATGTGTCATTCTTTAAGATCTTAACGAATGAAACGAACATTAGGTTCAATGAACTTTTCAAGACATTATATAATTGCATTTGAATAACTTCGTTTTTAGATAACAATTGAAATTTTATCATTACGTCTAGATAAGTAAGAATAATCTTAATTGATTGTGAATATTGCAACAATTCCAATTTATCGTTTTTATGCTTTTCAGTAAGTTGACAAAGTATATTTTGTAAAGTAGTTTGTAACACATTATTCATTTCAATGTTTACTTCAGATATTTCAGGAACACTTTTATTTGAAACATCAGTGGTTGTCACTAAATCAAGTTCGAATTCACTGAACAAAATGGATTTCTCTATTGAGCAAAACAAGATATCGAACAAATCATTGCCGTCGGGTTCGTTAACCTCTTCTACGAAATTTATATTGTCATTGGCTGTAATTCTTAACAATAATTCTTTACTAGCTTCTCCTGCAGCAACTATATCACCATCAACAAACCAATATAAAAAACATTTTCTCTTCTCTAAAGAACTGCATTTGTTAAAGAAGTTATAAATTATACGATTCAATGTTTCCACAGTACTGTTATTAACCGGCATCCCTTTCTCGATATACAGCTTGATTAGTGGTTGCACACTTTGATACTTTAACATCTTACTTTTCAATAACGCTTGCATTATAGAGTGTACATGTTTATGGCTCTCATTTACCGATGTAGAATTTCTGCAACGAAAATATCATTATTAAAAACAAACCGACCGATATGAGACCGCTTTATGCAGTAAGCACGCAGATGTTGTTAACAATTTCTATAACAAATAGTATATTTTTACTCACCTTACGCAAGAATTCCACAATGACAAAACCGCTTCATCTAATTCAGTGCTTTGGGATGTTTTCGATAATATTAAGTTTTCTATAATCAAGCAAGTGATGTCTTCAAGTAAACACCACTCAAAATGGTGATAGTTACCATTTAAAATGTTCTCGATTATTTTAATTATTGAAAGGTAATCCAAAGCACTGATTGTGCCACCGTAGTACTTTATGTATATATGCAGAATTCCTAGCCTGATAGAAAAATATTTGAATATTAATAATTGTTATATCAGCTGGTTTAATACAATAAATAAAATGTTAAATTTTACAAAACTCTTAAATTTATCTACTTGAGTTTAGAATTTAATGAAAATAGGGAACAAAATTATCTTAGACAATTTCTTAGGTGTTTTAGTCTGTATATGATTATCAGCTCTGAAGTATATTTTTTCTCAAAAAATAAATTGATTTTCATCAAAGGATTAACTGAACATAACTCGTGTAGAGATCTGTTCAAGGTTATCAGAATAAAAAGCACAGAAAACGTAAAAAATATGTTAGCTATTGGTAGCTACAGCTTACGGATATATTTTGTGATGTCCAATTTCATCATGAATCTCACACCTTGCTATAAACTTAAAATTAATAAAACGAATACATAATTCTGCTTTCATGGAGCATTGAAACGGAGCCCATAATGGGTTCGTTCATTTCATGTTTCATACACATCATGTATAGTTGAACACAAAATGAGTGTTATTTGACCAGATTGTTCTGATAATCCTAAAACATGACAGCGAGTTATGACGTCACGTGACATGATTGGTGTTACAGATCACGTGGTTTTGACATCAAAAATTATTATTATGAAAGTCCAAATATAATTACATCCTCTATTCTTTTTAGTGATTTATTTTATTTATGAATCCTAGTCCTTATAACTACCTATAGACAAAACATCATATATTTTTTTACTGCAGTCCAAGACCCTCTTGCGGACATTTGACATTTTGGGGCAATTTTGTATGTATGTATGTAAATTCTTTTTTTGTAAAATGTAATTAAAAAATATTCTTTACTTTGTCTTACCAAGGCGTGTGGTTTAATTGTAGCTGATATATTAAATCTGACAAAGTTTTGTTTCTATTCAATGCAACTTTTTGTCTTTTTATACTAGTGCCAGCCTCACTTTCGTCATTATCCTCGAGCGAATTGAAATTCTGGAAAAAAATAAAGTTTTCATAATAGGGAATATGCATATAATTTAAATAAGTAACAAATATGGTTTTAAATATTCTTTCATTTATGTCAAAGGAGTGACGGACAAGAACTCCATTCCGACAGTTTATACTCCAGGTAAAAGAGTGAGAGGCATCGTAGGCACTCCCCAGGATGTTCTACCTATGTCAACGCTAGGGGTTTACAAAATCGACTGCAGCCGTGGTGGTTCCTATATAGGTCAAACCAAGAGATCCATCGAGGAAAGTGTTAAAGAACACATAGCAGCTGTCAAAATTTGTCAGACAAGTAAATCTGCCATTGCGAAACACCTACTAGAAAGGCGCACAAAACAATGTATCGAGTATTATCGTACGCAAGTCCTTTGCCACGGATCGCCATATTCAAGAGTAGTGCGTGAAGCGATTGAAATTAAGAAACACCCTAATCCAGTATTTGCTAAAACGCAATAGGGGCACCGTTGGTGTTGTTTGTGACGGTAGTTGTATTAAAAATCTGAGGGTGGAGGAATCCTCGTATGCAGAGCGTAAACTTGCTGCTCCAGTCTCGTCGTAACTACGGCTGGTGCAACCCGGCCGAAACGTCGGCGCAGGTCAGTGTAAAAATCGCGACTATACCCGGTACTATAAATATTTAATAATGCAGCGCTATAGTTTAAAAGTGCACATATATATTATTTAATGTTTATAGAATTAAAGTTTATATAATTACTTAAATCGTTCAATTTTCACACAAAAAATATGTATAATTATTAAGCATAACATGGTTAACAAACAGGTTACCTAAAAGTGTTTAGTAGCCTATATTGGGCCTTTTATTTGATTACGATAAGAATTTCATATAGTTTCCCAACATAATTAATAGAAAGTGGACGTTGATTACGTTGATCACACCAATATTATGGACCCAATTATATGTAACCCCGATCAATGCTTAACTCAACAAATTAACCCAAATTTGTATTTGAAATATTACAACAAAACATCCGCAACATAAATCATAATATTGATAGTTTCTGTGCCCTATACTCGAGCATAAAAATAAAGTGTAACACATAGTACTTAGCGAATGCTGGTTATCATTTGTAAATAATGTTCCTAAACTTGATGGTTATTATTCTTATAATACAACACATAGTTTTAATCAGAATAACGGTGTCATAGTCATGGTAAACAATTCTTTGCATTTTTGAGTGGAAGAATATCAGCTAGATGAAGCAAACTGTCTGAATATAAGACTAGGTTCTGAGTACGTAATTAAAGCTATTTCCCGTCCACCTTGTTTTGGAAATTTGGAGAAATTTATAACATCTCAGATTTAATACGTTCATTAGCAAACATTAAAAATAAAATTTTAGTAGGGGACATTAATATCAGCAAACTGTTTATCCTCTAGTTACCTCGATCTATTAACTGACCATGGATTAATACCGGCTTATTACTCTCAACAAGAGGGGATAGTTGTCTCGATCATACTATAATTAAGACTAAGCTTATAACGCACTCGTAACGGATCATGAACCAATCCTGGCGTACATTTAAAATAAATGGTTAAATATCCATACGACTAAAACATATACAAAAATATATTCTGATAAGGGACTGTAAAGACTTGGGTAATGTCCTTGAAATTTAAATAGTTAAATAGTTTTTGTATTGTACTACAGGATTATATACAAGACTTAGTGACTAAAAATACTAAGGCACTGACACTGTCTAGGAATAAGATAAGCCATGGCTCACAATTGGATTATTAAGATGTCTGCGAAATCGTGACAGAATGCACAGTAAGTTGAAAAAGAATCCAAACTTTGAAATATTAGGAACAACATATAAACGTCACCGTAATTATTTAAAAAATATAATTAAATAACGAAACAGACGTACGGAAGGCAAGAACTATATAAATCAAAAAATGATAATAAGAGGATGTGGAAAGTTATAAAATCTATAGCAAACTTAAAAAATCTAGTAACGATTCTTAATATTGGTGGTACAAGAGAGGAATCAATATATAGCAAATATTTTTTTTGCAAACGTTGGCTCAAGACTGTCCTCTATACTATAAGATCAAACTTATCACCACCTTTTCCCACCGATCTTATAAAACATAATTCTCCAATTGACTCATTTATTCTTGACCAGACCAATGATGATGAAGTAACTTGTTTTAAATCTCAAGACGAACTCTGCCACAGGGTGTGACGGTATATAAGCGCAAGTCTTGAAACTTCTAGTTGACTGCATGGCGTAAACGTCCTACCTTGACAAAATTATTTAATCGCTGTTTGACTTCTGGAAAGTTTCCGGACTCTTTAATGAAGTCAATTCTAATACCTGTAGTTATTTTTTTACCCTGTAGTTATTTTTTTTCGCAGCCCTATTCATAGGGCCCTATACAGGGTAATATCGATTCTACCAGCTCTTTGAAGTCTTAGGGAAAATTATTAATAAAAATTGCTAGTTGAAAATCAATTTGGTTTTCGAGTAGGTAAATCAACAGATGATGCATCGAGAATAGTTGAAATTGTTCCGTGATTATATGAGTAATCGGTCTCAATGTGTTAAGATTGGTGATTTAATTTCGACGATCTTGTGACGTTTTCTGTACCACAGGGCAGCGTTCTGGGACCATCACTCTTTCTCTGCTACATAAATGACCTCTGCAATCTACATCTGGAAAACTGTAGTATAATTTCATATGCAGATGACACAAATCTTACTTTTTATGAAGAAAACTGGAATGAAGTGTACAGTTTTGCTCAGAGGGGTTTTGATCTGGTATGCTACTGGTTGGGGGCCCATTTTTTGACCCTTAATTCTTCAAAAACCAACAATATTGCCTTTTCTATACGTGACTAAAAATTGTCATCATCCCTATTGTTCTATTTAAACATCATTTTAAAACAATATTCCCTTATAACATTTGATAATAATCATTCGAGGTCTAAAACTAGAGGGAGATACTTAGTCTGTTCTAAACGAGTTCCTAGGACATCTTACGCTTATAACTTCTTTCCTTTTTTGAGTGGTAAATTATACAATGAATTTAACAGATAGCTGGAAATAGATAAAAAAGTAAGTCAAATGAAAAAAAAAACTTTTTTCACAATAAAGAATATCCTATTGATTTACAACTATTATTTCATTTCAATATTTAAGTACTTGTGTGTCAGATCTCAATGAGTATCACAAAATAACACCGATAATGGAGATACATTTTCCTTTCTCATAATTTAACATCATTGTTTTTGTACTTTCGCATTGCGTGGAATACGAAAAATTCTTAAAACTGAGAATAGTATGGAATAACTGAAATGCTATAGTAAATAAAGACGAGACACGACCAATGACGTCATCAAAAGCCCGCGCTAAATGGCGGCGTTTGACGGCTAAAATTTGTAAATTTATTACAAATGCATTTTAAAAAATAATTACACAATTTTCTCAAGCCTATATATATATTTTTCTTTATAATAAAGCTGTAAATGATTAATAAGGGTGAAGACAACTTTTATAATTTTATTTTATAGATATAGGCGAAATAATTTCAAATTTTCCCGTGAATACGCGAGCTTCTGTCATGGTTTCTGAAACTAATATCTATGCCTAATTCTCCAAGATCTGATATGAGTAAGAGGGGCGTGACGTTTACGCGCTGTTTGCGGTCATGTGACAACGTGTTAGTGAGCTGCTACGCCAGGCCCCGGGCTATAAATGGGCAGACTGGGCATTTGCCCAGGACGCCAAATTTTTGGGGGCACAAATTAAAAGAGATAATAAAAATAAATGAAAGAAACAAATTGCCTTGAAAATATAAAGTTGCAATCTTTGCTGGAAGTGTGAATTGTGTAGAAATAAATGTCTACAGTTTTGTATATGAAAGACGTGTTTTTTGTTATTTCCTTCATCAAATATAAGTAACATAGATTATTTGCTTTTACATAATAGTAATAAAGGGGGCGCCAGTAGACCATTTGCCCAAGGCGCCAGTCACCTAAGCCCGGGGCCTGTGCTACGCAAACCTTTTTTGCAATCTACATTCAAAATTCTGTTTTAAATTAATATCAGTACAATTTTAGAATAGAAAACAAATGTTAAACAGTACAGTGAGAATCAAAATATAAGGCTGTGACGGTGTGTTCTGTGGTTTCCTTAAAATACCTGGTAGCCTGACCTCGACCTCTTTTAACGAGTATAAAATGTTTGTGTTTTCATAATTAATTTTATCCATATTATATAATAAGCATAAAAGTTTGATTATCGGTAATAGCATATTGAGCACTACCAGAAAAATGAATTTATTTTTGTTTACTGTCTACACACGTATTTAATCAATTAAAAACAAACCATTCCCTCTTCTTGATTATTTTGAAAAAGTATTTTAAAACTTTCTTTGGTCATCTTAAACTACTATCAACGGCCTTACTCTTGAACGCAGACTCAATATCAATTTCAATCCAATCTAATAAAGATTTCAATTTTCTTTTACTTTATTTTTTTTATTAATTTCAACAAATTTTAGCACGTACTCTTGAAACATAGACTCAATTTATGTCAATGTCAATTAGTTTATTCAATTACAACGCTATATTGAGCTAATTGTCGCTAGTGTACCAAATCAAGAGTATGAAACGACACAATAGGGAATTATAATACACCTTATTTTGAAAAGTATCTCAATTCAACCCTAAGGTCATAATAATAAACCATGGGAAAAAATATATTCTGTAAATAAAGATGTGCAGTATAAAACTTTTACAAAACCCTGTTTCATGGTATTGTTTTAATAAAAATGAATTGTTTTTATTTTGACACAAAAAAAAACTTCTAAATGTATTTATCTTGCTTGAAACTTGTTTGTTTATGAACCAAATGACGTCATATCATGGCGGCTACTAAAAAACTACTAAAAAATCATTTCTTTATTTTCAGAATGCTTATTACCTAAGCTATCTCAATTATATATTTTTTCCGGTGATGACTAAAATACCCTATTGCAATGTTGATCGATCGAGATGGCATTCTAAGGTAGGCATGCAGATTTATTTTTGTCCAAAAAGTATTGTTATTTAAAGGAAAAGCATTTTTTATTTATTAATTTTAAATGTTTCGCTCAAACAAATAGTTATATTTAAAGTCACGACGTCTCATTTCAATAAAAATGAGGACTGGTTATACTCGCAGCAAGGACGTAACAATGGACAATGGTCGCCAACGTTTTGGTTCTTGTAATCCACAGATTATAAATCGTCAGTTAATTTTGCTTAAATTAACCGTTTCTACTTATTACAATTTATTTCTAAACAAAATATTCTAATAAATAGGTGTGATCTGCCTTGGTCATAAAAATAATTATTTTTTTATAATCATTAAATAACATACCTGGTGGTACATCGCTGCGGCCAGTGAACAAAAATGTGAATTATGCGTTTCACAGTTGTCGCCAGGTATCCGCACTTTTTGCAAGGCAACCACTTCTAAAGTGATAATATCCAGAACATTATTTTTATGCTTATTCCAAGTTTCCCAGTTATATGCCAAACTGCCTACTTCTCTTTGCAACTTTCCAGCTGGATGATGTAGCGAAACTACCATTTCTAATAATTTAAATAACGAATTCTGAAAAATTATTACTAGATCAAACAATATACATGGCAGTTTTATCGTCTTATTTTAGAAATCGTTTATCCGCCAAGAGGAGTAAAACACAGAGAGGGTGCGTATAGTGGGTGAACGAGGACTTGATAAATAATTTTATAGAAAAATTGTTATAGCATGCAGAAATCACTCTCAGGCCGTTCAATACTGTACTATTGACCTATCCCTTCTCTTATATCAAAAAAATAAAAATGATCCTAAAATCCCTGTTTATCATGGGTACCTAATTATATTATAATCACCCATGATAAACAATTATCGTAATTGATTTAAAGCATAAATTAAATTATTGTTTTGCTAAAAGTGTTTACTAAAACCTTAAAATATTTAAAGGATTAGAATAATAGTTATTTATTCACCGAATAAATATCACTCGAGTTATCGAGTCAATTCGGCGCATCTAGTTGATTCTCTTACCACTAGATGCCACTGCGTTACTCTAATTTATTAATCTAAACCGCGTACTTTTTTTATTTTCTTAATTACTGAAATAAATAATATGTCAACTCTTTTATTGTGTATTTTTTTTATATTATTTATTTAAAATTTTTTGCACACAATACAAATGGCGGACTTAATGCGATTAGGCATATGAGGCGGTTGAAAAGATCAGATGTATTATACAAATATTTATATCTTACTTCATTATAATATTCTAACCATAAATAAACATCATAAATGAATATACATAAACAAATGCATATTTATATGTATATATTTAAACAAATTATGAGTTAACTAGGGGATGATGAATTTAATAGATATTTACGAACTAATAGTTTGAAGGAGAGTTTATTTGGTACTTTCCGTATATTGGTAGGGAGGGCGTTCCAGAGTTGTATTGCCTGAAGAGTAAATGAGTTTGAAATAAAACTAGTTCGATGGAAAGGGGTTTGAAGAGATAATTTGCTGTCTGAGCGAAGATTTCGATTGTGAGAGGAACCCAAATAATTAAACTAAGATTTTAGATATCCAGGAGCACATGAATCATTAATTATAAAGTATTATAAAGTAGAGAGCCAAACTTGGTCGACCAGTCGGAGATTCACTGTAAAACACTATTGATCGAGCATATAGCATAATTAACATTTTCGCTGTAAGCTTATACATAAACTTGAAGATCGTCTGCATAAAGATGATGAGAGTTTTGAATGATGGGAGAGATCAAATTAATAAATATAGAAAAAAGTAAAGAGGATTGCAAGGAGTAGATCATGATCGACGACATTAAGGTGTTCGAAAAGTCAAATAATACTTATACCATCAGTCGTGTATCTTGGTGTATGTATATTATTTTTAAAAAGAAAAGCTGCGAGTTGACGATGTACAACTGCTTCGAGAATTTTCGAAAGAAATGGAAGGACTAAATTATTATGGTTGAAAGTAGTCGGATTTTTCTTTGTTGGAAGTGGTCTTTTTTGGTACTACCAAAAATATATATATATATATATATATATATATATATAACTAATAAAAAAAATATGAATTATTATATGACTTTTATAAAACTTAATGAATTAAAATTAATGTATTTATTTGTTTAAAATTACTAAGAGAAATCTCACTCCAGTAGCACGTTTGAAATTTTTTTTACTCGAGTCACTAGAAAACTCGAGTATGACTCGAGTAAGGTAGTTAATTAGCTCGAGTGCTCGAGTCGCCTATATGTGGGTATAGTCCTCCTGAATCACACGCCCTTCCTTACTATCCTGGGCTTTGTGCATTTAGTTTTTTGCATCGGGCCTTTAATGTACACTAGTTGTGTAATTAATCAAGTTACTATAACTATTAAATTTTCAGTAAATGCTTTTACTTAAAATAAAAAATAAAAATGAATTAACGCTACTAATCAATCAGGATAATCATTTATCATGCGTCCTTCATACAAAAACACCCTGTTTATACCCAATACCATATACCCATACCCAAATATTTTACTGTTTATAAACAGTAAAAAGTTTAAGTGTATACTTAAAAGTTAAAAAATATAATGGATTCAAGGATAATTTTTATTGGTCGATATAAACGGGGAAGGAATAGGTTATGACAGTCAATAGTGCAGTAATTTTATCGTCTGAGAGTGTTTCCGCATAAAATACTTAAAATTTTTACTAGTGAATTTTTTATCACGTCCTCGCTCACCCAGTATACGCACGCACCCTGGAGAAAAAGAATCCCCGTATGGGATGTATTACAGAAATCTTTTGCACACAGGCGTATATAGATGGTTCTAGGTCGGGAATGGGGGACAAATGAGCGTTCTGGGAAATAAGCTTTTCAACAGTGTGTCCCTTGCTCGATAAATGAAAATTGATTTAGCAACAAAAGAAAACAGCAATAATATAAATATAAACAAACCTTCTTCTTTTGTTCTAAATTATTGTCATAAAACTTTAATACGAGAGACAACACATTCTCAGTGAATTCGCACATCAATAAACGGCTTTCTGTTGACATCTGCAAAACAAAAGTAATAAATAAAAAATATTCCGACAGAAACAGAAAAAAATCTTCTTAATGAAAAATGCTTAAAAAATTCATTATGTTCCTGGCACTCTGAGATAATACCTTTTCCACTACAAGCGTTATGATTTCTATTATAACTTCTTGTACTTTCTTTTCATTCTGTACATGGAGGAAACATTTTTTCAGCTTTGGTATAGAATCTCTTAGTGGTATTATCGTTTGACAGTATTTGGTTCCATTTTTAATAATCAATGAAACCAGTCTTAATTTTGTGTAATTGTCCAAACTGGAGTCATTTAACAGACATACAGAAATGCAAACATGCAATAAATCTGAAAATATAATAATCACTTATCACTATCCTGACTCTGGCACATTTTAGCACATTTTATAGGGAATATGAGAATGATTCAAAAATTAACCCTTTTTGAATACATATTTTATTACGAACAATATCACTCTAGCAAAATGTGTATGTAAATATTAGTCAGCATTTTTTTTAAAGGCACAAAAGAATGCGGTTAAATCAAAATATCAAACGCAATAGGCTATTTGACTAATATTGAAAAATCATTTTAAATTATTTAAATAATAAATACATTATTGTAATATTTCGGAAAAAATACTGTATTTATAAATAACAACAATTTTAAAGTTTAAATTTTCGAAAATTTCAAAAATGTTAAATTTTCAAAAACGCCGTGTCTGTCATACGCCGCGTATGACGTCACACGCTAATAAATAAACAAACCACATAATACTAAAATCGTCAACAGGAAGCCAGATTTACTAGTGTGTGACGTCAAACGGAGTTGCAACAAGTTATAAGGCGTTTTCGTCACAGATAAAAATGACAAAAATATTTTATTTTATTTTGTGTAATCTGCAACAATTATACATTACTTCGTTTAATTAAACAAAAGAGAAATAAGTGTTATTACGCTATCGTCTTATAAGACAACCACTATTTTTAATACCTATATGTTTAATGTGTTCAAATACCCTAATACGCAATACTATTTGTCGTTACTTCGTAGGATATCGTTGTTACAAAAAGTTAATATCGATGCTAGAATATTTTATTGTGTAACAAAATAAACAACAGGTTATATTATTTTAATTTCATCAATTTGGTAATCTACATAAATGATCACTAAAAAGTCGCTTATATTTAACAAAAAATCGATTATATAGTTGATACTTAAAGGCGATTTTTAATAATTGAATAATAATCCATTACTCAAAGTCATATTTCTTGCCGTAGACGTTGACGTCACAACAAACACGCCAAAAACCCGGATTTTAAGGTGATACTTAATTACATTACATATATTTATTTGTTTTTACTAAATTTCAGTTTTCCAAAGCTGGGTCTTTTTAAAGTTTTATAATGACACTAATTACTTATGAAAATATGAATTTTTTTTTTGAACATGTCCTGTATTAAACATTCACCAACACTCTGTATATTGATGAAAACCGCATGACATCTGTTGTGTAGTTCAATAGATCTTAGTATACAAACAAAAAGAAGACATTGGTTGCTTATTCTAAAACTGAGCTCATTATACAATTAAAATAGTACCATAATAAAACTTCGTTTTACTGTTCTATGCGGTGATGACCCGAAAAAACCCAAACAATTTGATAATTTATTATTTCTATAGTTTCTATCACATTACCCTCTCATACTGAGCACTTTGGATACTACACTGGCATTATTAGTATAATGCCCAATTAATTGCTTTGTTGCAATCTCAAATATGTTAAAAAACAAGCTTTTATTGAATGGCACTAAAAAGTAAAAAGAAACTTTTTCAATTGAACTTGTCATAATGCTACATTAAGAAATACCAAAATGCTGAAAAGCTTATCACTTATTAATTACCTTCCCAATGCATTGGTGTTATATACCCCAAATAATAATCACATGGTAAAACATACTTATACAAAAGATTCAAATAGGCATCTCCAACAGCCTTTGTTAGACGGCTTTTCTTTAGTATAAATAAGCAGGCATCTAAAATCTTGTCACATTTAAGGTAGGCTTGTCCTGCAAATATTTTTATTTTATCATCAATAAATATATATGTCACTGCAAATTAATGATTAAAGAAAGTATTATCTGTCTTTGTGTTTTCACTAGCTTTTATTTATTATTTTTAAAGCAGTTATCCTCAACCCATTAAGCTGAAATTTTTCATTTTGAGTTTAGTGAGGATAACAATGCAAAGTTATAGTCTATAAGATTGTGACAAAAATGTGCAAAAGCTTACTAATTTGTCCATCAGTCAGAAAATAGAATAATATAAGATACATTATTTTTATGCTTAAATTTAACTAGAAATGGCTTAAATTGAAATTGATGAGTGGAGGGTTACTAAGTCACAACTAACTAGAAAAAGTACAAAGGTGACATCCCGTCATGCGACATTTCAAGTCAATCTATGTATTGATGTAATTTATTGATTCTGCATTTTTCATTTTTCATTAACAACAATTGATCTAATAAAATAAATAAATTTATTGTTAAATTATTAGCTGTTAGTTTATAGAAAATACTCAATTAACACTATAAACATATTCAGGAATCGCTGGAAGTTTATTTGGCACCACCACCACTAGGTGTTTCAGCACCTGACCTCCTCATTGGCTACTAAATGATGATTTAGTACTTCAAGATATATAGGGATATGAAGCTTTATACAGCTTTTGTACATTTTTGTCACAAGCTCTCCTATAACTACTGATGTAGAACAAGATTGGCGCTATGGATAAAGCATAGTGATTTATATAGTGCCATAAACAATTTAAATGTTTTTTTTATGATTAATAATTAAATAAATAAATAAAAAATACCTCTGTTAGCACCTGCTACACACATGTGAAGTAGACTTGTACAAAGAGGTGCAGTTGTAGTAAAAAATGCTTTAGAACTTTCAAATTTTTCTGTCTCCTGAAATGATATATTAAATTACAATTAAAGATTATTCTTAAAACTGAGTGCAATGAATCAGTGCAAGTATGCCAATGTTACAATATATATTTTTCACTATTAATATTACAAAAACATTTCACTTGGTAATATGTGAGCTGAATGAAGATAAGTGAGCTGTTGAGGGCAGTACCTAATGGTCCTTACTGTAATGGTACAGGCTAAGGCAGGAGTCCTTCATCACACAGGTTTTTATAGGTACCTACCCATGTTACTACTATCTTTGTTGTTTTCTATGAATACACCTACTATGTATCTTTATGCCCTTGTTGTTTCTTTAATGTGACAGACAATAAAATACTTACTGAAGAAATAACTATTGGGTAAAATAATAGTAAAATGGGAGACATTAGTAACAATCATGTTTAATAATTAAGACTAGGTAAATTAGCTTTTTAATTCTATAAAACTACGTTTTCAATCCCGTAAATAACAAAGGTAACAGAAGTTAATTTATAAGCATAGCGGCTTGTGTGTACAGAGACATGCTTGTTCATACATACCATGATTTCTAAATATGAACACAAAATCATAAAAAATAGCTTTTGAACTGTTGATGCTGATGTTGATGATTACCTACTGCTGTTTTCAATAGTATTGCTCAAAATGATCTATCAATAGTATCAATGTTTACATTTGGCAATATCATAAATAAAACCCTAAATATTTCACCAGAGTTACTATCAACACTGAAGATAATAAATTTTTGGTCACCATCCTTAATGGGTGGGTGGACACAATCAGATTAGAATATAGTAAGTGTAGGACCAACTATACATTTTGTTGGTATAAGCATGAAAAAATGTAGGACCGTATCTTCTAATGCCCACAAACAATCATGTGATGCACCCTTGCCTATAATCAGACCCATCATAATGTGCCAAGTCCGTTAGTTGTAACTAAATTAAAATTAGGTACCTTAAGTATAAATTCATTTATATCGTCAAATAAATCATTCCATGAGAAACCTTTTTTGTTGAGAGAGTTCTTTGTCAATAAAGAAGGTAAGGCATTTCTTGATAATAGATCTTTTAAAGCTTCAGCACATTTCTTACGATCACCGATACGACTGGATGACGAAAGTCTTGTGCTGTAATCTCTTGCTGAACATTCAAGTTCCATTTTATCATGTATGCTACAAAACCTGCAGTGTTTTATTTTTTGTTTAAAATTTTTTGATTACTATTACTTTTTCTTAGTCTTGGGGAATATTGTAATAAAATCCATCTAGGAAATCGTTTGAATTTCATTAAACCCTTCCTCGAATTTATCAGAACAATTAGAAAACTCGGATAAGGTCGTATCTTACACCCGGCAAACTCCACAAACTCCTAAAAACAAAATATCAACCGATTCAAGGCCGAACTTCAGTGACATCACAGACTATTTGAAACATTGAGTGATAGTGCTTGTCAGTTCACGCAATTTTTTTTTTCATATTTTACTGGCCCTTGCTTATAAGTTCAGTTGACACAATGATATTAATATACCACAGGCCAAGAAGAGACTATACTAAGAACCTCTAAAAACACGTTAACATGATAGAACTTCGATACTAAACTGGAACGCTTACGAGACGAAACAAAAAATCTAAGGAAATACATCGTTGAAAATAACTTCACGCTATGAACCTCCAAACGGAGCACTAAACAAAGATTATTACCAAACTATTTCATTTTTATTGAAAAGAAAGAACGAAAGATCTTAATTTCGAAGTAAGTGCGCGGTGTTTACACCCTTGGCAACAAAATAATATTTATTTTTCGACATAAGCTTAACTTTCTCCACAGTCAGATTACAGTGAAGAACAGGGAGAACGCTTCCACCAAGTCCTAAAAGTGATGGAAGAAAGGTATCAGGGTAGATGGGATCGTCACATGTTGGCAGATTACTGCTGGTCCTTGAAAAGAGATTGTCCCCAAATTACCTATAGACGAAAAACTTATAAAAGGCGTTTCTTTGAATTATAACTATAGCTTAAAAGATTTTTCTCTCTTTTTATTTCTAGGTACATTAATTAAAAACTTAAACAAGAAATATTGAAACTTTGTTAATACATAAATAATATAAAAAAATATACTAACTGTTACATTCTGTGTTTTATAGTCTAATAGGAAAATTAAGATAAAAAAAACCAGAGCCAATATTCCAAAATCATTCACAGTTTTATAAATTGTATGCATAAAATTATTCGAAACCACTTTCACATTAAGTGAAACAAAACCATTGTTGACCAGTGATATCATTGAATAAATGTATCTAATATTATTTATTGTACAGCGATTAAAATAACACATTTGAAGCTCAATTAAAATAAAAAATGCATAAAATTAACATTAGGTACCTAATGTGAGGAAGGTTAGTAGAATCGACAAAGTTCCTGTGTATAGTACTGAATTTGCGACTACCATAAGATCCTCATATCAATACCTTGTCAATCAGGTTGAGTTCTGCAGCTTTTGCTATTAAAGGTTATTATAGTATAGTTATATTTATAGTTATATTATATCAGACTCTCGATAGATGTTGCAACGGTAAGATCGGTATCAGTGTATGACCTATTGTTGTCAAGTTATTCTGCTAATATGAAATATAGCTTTATACTGTAAAAAGCTTTATATATTATAAATAAAAGAGAGCTGACCACGCTATATAAAGTTATGGTCTAAGGCATTAATTAGAGAAATATTACAAGAAAGCAATATTTGTCCGTTGTCTATCAATATACAAGGTGTTAGGAAAACGCTTCCGAATCTTTAACATGGTTAATATACCATATTAATGGAGTCCTACAAAAATATTTGTTTAGCCAACACATAAGCCAGATAGTAGCGAAAATATACCACAATAAGCAGTATCAAGCTTTATTACTTTTGTATTACAGATGACGTTATGGCTTTATTTTGAATAAGAGAATTTTAAAATTAAAATAATGTTGTAAGTTTACTAAATTCTGTATAAAGCTTGCGGTATTTTTTGAAGCTGAATAGTAAGCAAGAGTAGAATCTGTTAAACAAGCGATATTCAAATAAAAGTAATTGAAACAGCTATTATCTGCACAGTAGCTGAATTTTTTGCATTGTCTTGTATGACATATTTAAGCAAAGCAGTTAAACAGCAAAACGCTGAATATTAGACGAAATATTTTCTTTAAGCTGCATAGTGTACGAAATGGTACCAATTTATTCAGATGCTGAATATTTTAGATTTTTTCTTCTTTACACAGCTGACTTCTGCATAATTGAAAATAAACTCCTTGTTTTACCTAACTTATAGCGCTATAAGCGTACAATTGTCTTTGTGTTAAGCTTAAAACAATATCAGTTACAAATGTGGGTATCTTAAGCAGCAAATAACTGATTAGTTGAAGATATCGTATGTTTATATCCAGATATTTCACAATTTTGTGATAAAACTGATAAATACTGCATCATTAATATGCCTCCTCAGAAAAATAATAACAAAAGCGTAAATGATTTATTGAAAAAAATAAAGAGAACGGGAGGAATAAGAAGAAAGTGTTCACGAGAGTATGAAAAGATAAAAAATAGTATCTGTGCAGTAATAGAAAAGGGTTTGACATTGTTTGGCCCGGGTCAAGTGCGACCAATACAGTTGAAGAGGGTTCTGTACACGATGATTGTGCATCACCATCAGGATTAGTGATTCAAACAAATAGACCGGGTCCAACTTTAGATGCAGATAACGAGAGTTATATGCGTGACAAGTTTGCGTATCAATCACAATTTTATAGTGATTCAAGTTCTACAGATTTGGAAGAAAACTCAGAATTTAATAAAAAATATTATTATTATCGTGCGTATCAGTTCTGTTCAACATTTGAGATAATTCTTCCTCAGCTTTCCTCAGGTTTTTGCAAAGTAGCTCGCCTTTTTTTGGCCAGTATAATATTCCTTTGTTTTCCCTAGAAGCGGGCACTGTTGATAATTCAACTCGGCCTTTTTTACAAGTCGAAATGATTTTGAACATGTTGCTGAAAAAAATATATAACATTTTCTATAACACTTCAAAAATACTACAACAACACTATTATAAATACTAACATTATATAATAAATCTCGATGTTTACGTTTGAATCTTACTTATTGACTACATGAGCGCAACAAGTGTATATAAAGTAGGTACCTACATTAGTATAGGTCCCATCAACCTCAAATATTCATGGATTTATTTTATATAAAAAGGAACCCTAAAAAGCTGAATTAGAGTATACTGCATTATGTTATTTAAGACCTTTCTCTGAGAAATATATAATTATTGTGCTTTAAACCAAATAATTTCTGGATATGTAGTCGTATGTGAACTATTATGCAGAAATAAGCAAAATAATCTCTGAAATAGACACTTTTATTCAAATAGGCCATCCGCCATTAACTAATGTTCGACATAACCTCTTCTTATAAAAACCCTCAACATTTATCTTATGAAACACTTTGTTTAGTGAGTAGGAAACATTAGCAGTTATACAAAATTTGATTCTCATTATTTTCTGGGACTGAAATTTGATAAAAAGTAAAGATAATTTAATTTAAATATTATTTCACATTTGTTTACCTTTTAATTTGTAGCTTTATCTGAAGGCGCTCAAAAAATGTATAATAATCATATTGATAATTCACAGTAAAGTGCCATGCGTTTATATAATTCACCTTAAACTTACTTCAAATGTATGAAACAATTTGCTTATCAAATTTTTGAAGTCGTGAAGTAGCGACCATTAATATATTTTGAAGTAAGTTACACAAAATAATCTCGTCACAATGAAAAATATATTTATACTTTTTTTTACTTGCATAATTTCTTTGTAAAACTTCCCCTGAGTTCGGAATTGTGAATATCATTTGAATATCTGAATTCACAAATAAACAACTGCATAAGAGATGTATAATTTCTGGACTAAAGAAAAAACAGAATTTATGCAGAAGATATTCAGTGTGTTGTACATTTATTCATCTGCTATGTAGCTACTAATCAAATGTTATCCAAATTGAAGCAAGATATTTTGTGCCCAAATTGCTTGAATATCATCTGTATAAGCGCTTACACAGAAGTTATACAAATACTTTATCCAGCTTAAAGTCAAAAGAATTGCTTTTACGCAAAATTTATTCGATATGCCTTCAAGAATTTCATCAAGGCTCTCATTAATGAACCTAAGATACCCAGCTCCGTCAAGTCGTTGTGGTAGAAACACCGGCCCAAAGATAACATTGTTGAAGACGCCAGCCCAAACGTTGACCGACCATCGGGTTTGGTGGCCAGTCTCTTGAGTGGCACGTGGATTGGTTTCAGACCATAAATGTGAATTTCGTCTATTCCACATGCCGTTCCTTGTGAATGTAGATTCATCTGTCCAGATAACATGCTGAATAAATCCTGGAAGACGCTGTTGTTGATCCAACAACCAACGTGCGACGACGGGGTAGGTCTTCGGGTATCAAAGCTTGCACTTTATGAATTTTGTAAGGCCGCATTCTGTTTCTTCGCAAAACTTTGTACACCGTCCAATGCGAAACTGAGGGCCCATTTGGCCGCTGCAGTAACTTCGCAGCAGTCCTCGTGCCCAAACGGGGGTTGCGTTGGATCACATCGAGAATACGCTCCTCGGCTGCAATGTCTATTGGTCGCCCACCGCCGACCGCCACCGGAACGATCGGTTGATTCTCCAACAGTCGTTGAAACGCAGCAGTAATGGTTCGAGAGTGTCCTGGATGATGCACATTAGGAAATCTTTCCCGGTAAATTCTCAAAGCTAGAGAAGCATTGCCACGTGCTTCTCCTAAACACATAACCATGTTCCCATACTCACGAGCACTGTACACATACGCATTAGGCATGATGAGATGCACTTATTGTCTAATAAACTTAAAATAAACCTAACACGCTCAACTAAAAACTATGATAACTAATTTAACGAAATAAACTTTAAAATACGCATTCGCAAACCGAGATGGAAAGTTTTTTGCCACTGGTCGGCCTCATGCCTCGCTCATATCAAAGAAGCCGCGATCATTCGTTCTTCGGTTCTTCCTACTGAATATTCGAGTGTTGCAACTTTTTTCACCAAATTCCCAAAATTGTTTTAGAAATGAAATCTGCAATTGAATGGATTGTGCATTACGTGTTCGATCAAATTTACGATTTAACATTGTGAATTATTACAAGAACTGATATCGTAAGTAATTTTTAATAATACGAAATAAACCAAATGAAAATTGTCTGAAAGTGTACGCTATACTAAATTATTTTTATGACAAAATAAGTAAAATGTTTGAAAGAATGTTGTGCATCATTAATAATTGTTTTCACCGTATCCTA